ACGTATATGCCAAATTTGGATACAATTTGGGATTTGTTTTTCTTTCCCGAAAATGGGATTTGTTTGTCTATTCCATTTTTTTTTTTGAATGGTTGTGAAGACTGGTGCATTCTGCCTGATCTTCAGTGTTTGCATGTTGTTGTGAGCAGCTAAACCTTCGTAAGCACTTAACAGGTTTAACCAAGGAGCTCATTTTCCCCTATCTTTGGATGGACTCATTATACATCAATGCTTCTCAAATAGACTTGGGGCCCACCTTAAAGGTGCAGTTAGCGATTTTGTTTGCTTTGCTGTAGCACCAACTCAAAACCACTCCCCCTCTCCACCAAACCAAACTTTTATTTTTATTTTATTTTTGTATTTTTATTTGATAAAGGGGGAACAATACATATTAATGAACATTTTTACAAATGTAAATATGCCAGATTATAGCCTTAGGCTAATTTCCATCTGCAGACCCCCTGGCAGGTCATCCAGCATTTTCTTTACTTAATCACAACCGGGAGAGTGGGTGGCAAACGTAACTCAGGAAGAGGGTGAAGGGGGGTAAACGCATCCCATTGGTTTGTTGGGGATTAACAAATCCCATAGGTTTATTTTTATCGGTCCGCTCCAAAATAGTTTGTATTAATTTTTGGAGACAAAAGGCATGTGGCCAATTCCATTTCTATTTGAAAACACATTATAACTTGACTACTTTTAGGGTTTAGGGATGTTTTCCCACAATGTATAAACAAATGCATCTGGAAAAAAATTACTGACTGCATCTTTAAGTAAAATGTTGTGAACAAATCAAACAGAACAAACTACAACAAGCAGTCTTGATTTGTGTTTGTTTTGCATATTTAACACAAATCTTATACAATACAATAAAATGCATGAAAAAAACATTATATGTGTTCTGCCTGGAAAAAATTTCTTCGTTTTTAGTTACAATTGACATAGCTATGAAAGGGGGATTGGTAAAATCCGTTTGGTCAAATTACAGCAGTCATTCTCAAATAGTGCGACCCAAGATATCTGCCCATTCAAAACTATGGTCATTGGTCTGTGGTCTTACCAAGGAGGCCGAGATATTAGCGGTGACACATTTCAGCCACCTCTGGTCCTCCCGGTCTTGCGCAGTAGGTGTGCCGTTTGTGGCCGAGACATGAGCGCAGATTAGCACAGACCAGAAAGAGCATCTGAGAATGAGCAGTTTTTGTTAAGATTGAGGTCTGTGAAGAAATTCTTTGGGTAGCCCTGGTGAATGTAGCCTGTGTGAAATGATCCCCTGTCTCCAGAGGGCAGGGCACTGGCTGTTGTGACACTTTATAATTATGTATCGGCACTCAGCAGTTAAATAGATAATTGATGGCAATGATAAAGTTCTTCATGCGATCTGTGTGACTTGAGTTGAGGTACTGAATACCACATATGTATTGAGTGAGTGGATGTGTGTGGTATGTAGGTAGGACCTGGGACCTCTAACACAATTTGTTAAGCCCATAGTTTCAAATCTTGGAGTGAAAATGGATGCTGATTGTAAATATGATGAACAAATAAGTGCAGTATTGAAGTCCAGTTTCTTCACGCTTTTGTTACGACTCGGCTGGACTATTGTAACGCCTTTTTGGTATCAGCCAGTCCTCGCTTGCTCGTCTGCAGCTGGTACAGAACGTTGCGGCGCATCTTTTAACAGGAACTCGGAAGTATGAGCATATCTCTCCGGCCTTCATTGGCTTCATGAATGGCCTTGCTCCGCGTTATCTGTCTGACCTACTGACGTCATACACCCCATCACGTTCTCTTAGGTCGGCAGATCAGGCTCTGCTCTGGGTTCCTCTGACTAAATGGAAACTCAGAGGAGATCGATCTTTTTCAATTGTTGGTCCTAAATTATGGAATGAGCTGCCCCTGTGTGTTAGACTGCCGGAGTCACATCCTGTTTTTCAGTCTCGTCTTAAGACACATTTTTTCTCACTGGCTTTTAATTGATTTTCAATTGATTTTTGGCTGTAAATAGTGTTTTGTCTTTTTGCCACCGTTTTGTATTTTGTATTTGTATATTTGTGTATGTGTTTTTATGTACAGCACTTTGGTCAACCATGTTGTTTTTATTTGTGCTTTATAAATAAACTGGATTGGATTGGATTGGATGTGTAAGTAATCTTTACTTATTCATATAGCGCCTTTCGTAGACCAGAGTCTCAAGGTACTGTACACTTGTTGGGGGCATTTGTCTATCACTCCACACATGGGAGCGGGGTCATCATACAAGAGGCGCATGCCACACTTAAACCAGAGTCCCCTTAGGAAACCGGAGTACCCGACACCGGGAGCGCATGCAATCTCCACACAGAAAGGTCTGGAGGTGGAATTGAACCCAGGACCTACTTGCTGTGAAGCACAACCACTAACGACACAGTGTATTGTGTCGTTTGAGTAAGAGAGAAACCACACAACGCGTTTGCTTTGATCAACCCCTTTTAAATCTGCATTGTTGTTTACATGTTTGTTTTTTTGTCTTGTGTTGATAAGTTTGAAAAAGACTACTATACTAGATAAATATGAGCATGTAACTCACAAATGTCTACCTTGAGATGGTTTGTACAGCTTTAATATCTACATAATGTGAATCTGCAGCTCCCTGAAGCACTTACAAAGACAATGTCACAATATAAACACAAGGATCGCAGAGAGCTAGAGGAGTTTACATTGCAATGTAAATTAGCACTTTCCTACTGGGTTAGCAATGTCCATCTATACACAGTCTATGGGTGTAACATTGAATACACTTACCACCACTGCCCCTAAGAACCATCAAAGAAATTATGCTGATAACATCAAGGGAATTGCCTGTAGTCAAATGCATAATATATCTTCCATAAAAGAGAACTTTTTACCTTTTCAACACCCTGTCTTTTTGCACAACCTGAAGCCTAGTGTATACTCGCGCTGTGCAAAGCTTACGATGGTGTCGTGATGTCACCACCCCTGCTCCTTCGAAAATTTGCATAGGCAGCCGGTGCCGCAGAGCAGCTCCACTGTGATTGGTCCGTGTGTGTGTTTTGGATTGAAGCATGGAGCGGCTGATATTTGCCACTTATTGTTTTGCTGTTTGTGCACGAATACACTTTAATCATAACTATGTTTCCAACAAGAACTAAGTCTCACAGCATCACATTTGAAATGACTTATGAAATAATGGCCCTGTCCCAATACTCGCACTTCCACCCTCGTGCCCCTCATTTGCACGTTCCTGATGATGGCACCCACCCTAAGCAATTCTAAGACCTCCCTGGAGAATTGGGACACCCGCTGTGACACCCCGGTGTCCCAATTCTCCAGGGAGGTCTTTTGCCCCGCCCCCTTTGCGCCCTTGATCCACACTTCGCCGTAGCCTGCATCTACGTGGACCCTGCCAAGGATATTGCCCATAATTTTTTATGGGCAATATTGGAACACCCTAAGAACTTGCACCAAGTGCTTAGGGTGTCCCAATTCTCCAGGGAGGTCTTTCGCCCCGCCCCTGATCCACACTTCGCCATAGCCTGCATCTAAGCGGACTCTGGCGAAGGATATTAAACTTACATTTAAGTGTAAGTTTTGAAATATATACTGTATGTGTGTTAATAAGTTTTGCTATGTTACATGGAAAGGAAGCGTTCATAACATTCAATTTAAACTTTACACTTAGTACAACAAACTTAGAATGTATAAAAACTTACCAGATAACAGTTAGTTACCCACATTTAACTTAAAATTATACAGCTATCTCAAATTACGAATAACCAATATACATTTATTTTAACGTGTGTTAACTCATTAACTACTACTTTTGTTTCCCACAGGGTAGGACGAAATTACCTTTGATTTCTATAAAGTTTAGGTCTGCAAATGACCATCTCTTGAGTAGTCGATGACGTAACCTGCACTGTCTCAATGCCTCCTTTTTTCACGCTTGTAACCTGCGCACTCAAACTCTTGCGTGCACCTCAAACAAATGCACACTTCGTAGAAGAGTGTAGGGTGCAGTGTGGGTATTGGGACAGGGCCAATGAGTCCATAGCCTGGCCTTAGCCGTCCGTACACTCCATTCAATTATCATTTCACTGCATGTAACGTCTGGGTCTAGTCCCTATGTTAGCGATTACAATCGGTTGAATTTCGACCGACCATTCAGAGAGCGCGGAAGGCAGGTGTTGTAGTTAGTTGTGGGTGATGTCAAGAGTTTGCGTCGAACGGGCAGGTTGTAGTTTGGTAATGGCGAAAAATGCGATAGTAAAGTAATCCGGTCTGGTTCTATCAAGAAATTGAAGCCGGAGCAAGGGTAATGTTTAGCAAATGTAATCGCTGGAAAAAATTGTGGCGCTACTCCCCACGGGCTCCGTTAGCGGCAAAGGAGATGACAAGGCTAAATGCTAAATGCTAACAACAGACTCGGGCGCACTACATACGCCACGGTAAACTCAGATCCAATTGTTTCAATCTGCAAAAGGAGTTAACCCGTCCCACCTGTAAACGGAGCTCAATGGAGCACCTCCAGACCTTAGTACGAAATGTCATTTGTACTATGGTGTGGTACGACCAGGCTAATGAGTTCATAGAACTATCACATAAACCTACACTAGCTACACATGTAATGAGCTCAAATAGCTTGGTTTGATAATGTTTTTGTTCTGAATAGGAGAAAGTAGCTAGTAGTAAATGGGACCACTTTGGTTTCCCAGCCAACTCCTGTGAGATCGCCATCACGTGGTTGGGTGTGGGATTACAAAATTCTCCTCAAAACTATGCAGGAGGAACACGCGAGTGTATGAGCAACTGTGGCTGCGTAGGTCCAGCGCAACAGCAAATGTAACCAGCGCAGTGCAAGTATACGCTAGGCTTTAGTGATTTTTTCTATGCCATATGTGACATGTATATTTCTCCATTGTGAGACCAATAAAGTTTATCTTATCTTATATCCTAGTCTGACAAGTCAAAGTTATAGTGCCATTGAAAACATAGGGACAGGTATGGCCAGTCTACAGTCCATAAGTGTGTCAACCCCTTAAAGGAATAGTTCACCGTTTTTACATACTGACATATGTTCTTACCTTACCTTAGACTAGTTAATACGTACCTGTCTGGTCTTAGTCCGTGTGCTCTGTCATGCAAACGGAGCAAAAACGGGAGCACAAATGCAGCCTCCTCTGTATATTTTGTAGCACCAAAAGGTAGCTCCCGCTAGAAGCTACCAAACTCTTCCAAGTGTTCCCTATTAAATGTATATAGTTACGTGACGTGTTACACTGCAAAGTATAGTAACACAGAAATGTAACAGTCGATTTTCTCAGCGGATAAAACGGGTACTATATTGTGAGGCGTAGTAATCTGAGGAGCGCTACGTCCGCGCACTAACTTCTCTCCGTACTACAAGTCACGCTGCTTCTATTGACGGAAGTGAGCGAGAGAGAAGTCTCCGGAGAGAAGTTAGTGCGCGGACGTAGCGCACCTCAGATTACTACGCCTCACAATATAGTACCCGTTTTATCCGCTGAGAAAATCGACTGTTACAATTCTGTGTTACTATACTTTGCAGTGTAACACGTCACGTAACTATATACATTTAATAGGGAACACTTGGAAGAGTTTGGTAGCTTCTAGCGGGAGCTACCTTTTGGTGCTACAAAATATACAGAGGAGGCTGCATTTGTGCTCCCGTTTTTGCTCCGTTTGCATGACAGAGCGCACGGACTAAGACCAGACAGATACGTATTAACTAGTCTAAGGTAAGGTAAGAACATATGTCAGTATGTAAAAACGGTGAACTATTCCTTTAACACCAGTTACCCCAGAGTTTATATTTGATAAAGTAAGAACTTCACAAAGACTGAACCCCATGTGTGTGTGCTCTAATTATACACTGTAATTGGGTCCTAAAACAGATCCAATTGGAATCTTTAGCTGTGTAAGTGTTTTTAAAAGGCTTAGAAGGATAATTTAATGAGACATAAAAGCTAGTACTGCTTAATTACCTGACATGACTTGTACTATCTTAAAATGACTTTTTATAATAACTCACTTATGCTATGGAAAATTAACTGAATTTGATTTGTGTTGCAGTCTGTGGGCCAAACATTGACATCCGTAATGACATCACAGAGTTGCAGCGGTTGGATAACTGCACGGTGGTAGAAGGCTACCTACAGATCCTGCTAATCTCCAACACCAACCTGGAAGACCTCCGCTCGCTCAGCTTCCCCAAACTCACGCTCATTACAGACTTCTTGCTGCTGTTCCGGGTGTCGGGCCTTACCTCCCTCAGTACCCTGTTCCCCAACCTCACAGTCATCCGTGGACGCAATCTCTTCTACAACTATGCTCTCGTCATCTACGAGATGACAAGTCTGAAGGATATTGGCCTCTACAACCTACGCAACATCACCCGAGGAGCCATCCGTGTTGAGAAGAATAATGAGCTCTGCTATCTGGACTCTGTGGACTGGTCGCAAATCATGGAAGAGGAGAGCAATAACATTATCAATGGAAATAAGGAGGCCAAGGAGTGTGACAATGTGTGTCCTGGCGTCATGGAGGACAACCCCATGTGCAGGAGGACTGACTTTAATCACAACTTTAACTACCGCTGCTGGACGTCCAACCACTGCCAGAAAGGTAAGATGTTGAAAGAAGGTTTAGCAATTACACACACACTTAAGATAACTAACTTTGTACCATTTCAAACAGAACAAATATTTGTGTCTGAACAAAGACACATTCTGATCCAAAAAAAATCAGACAAAGAAGAGGGAAAAGGCAAAACACAGATACAGCTTTATTGTGTACGATATTATTGATATCCCAATATTTTGGTTCAATATCTGCCCATACTCAATCAAGGAAAGGACAGAAAAAAGCTTATTTTCCCACTTAAATCACAATGAACTTATTATGGTCACTACAGGAAAACTTTGAGTATAGTGATACAACATTTCCAATATCGGCACAAATATATATACAAATATCAAGCGGTGCATCTTTTCCAAATGTCGTTAACCGTAAGTGGTTTTTTTTAAAAGATGTTTCGAACACATTTCAATGAAGTAATTGCAGGGTTATAAGAGCAGATGTTTTAATGCACTTTCACCTGTGTTTATTAACAAATACTCAACATATAAAAAATATAATTATGACAATATTAATATAGATACTAGTATTAGCATGCTTACCTCAAGCCTGAAAGTTCTTTTTCCATAATGGGTGACACAATAGAGACTCCAGAGACTCTCTGGATGTTGTAGAACTGTCTTGCCTGACACGTCTCTTCAACATCGCGTGGCGATCGGGTGCGTTGCCAATGGAGTGGCAGACCAGGGTGGTGGTCCGTCTCTACAAGAAGGGGGACAGGAGGGTGTTATCCAATTATAGTGGGATCACACTCCTCAGCCTCCCTGGTAAGGTCTACTCCAAGGTACTGGAGAGGAGGCTACGGCGGATGGTCGAAACCTGGATTCAGGAGGAGCAGTGTGGTTTTTGTCCTATCCGCTGAACACTGGACAAGCTCTACACTCTCAATCGGATACTCTAGCTTTCATGAAAGTTCGCCCAACCTTTCCACATGTGCTTTGTGGATTTGGAGAAGGTCAGGGGTCCTCTGCTGAGGGCCGTCCGGTCCCTGTATGACCGGAGCCAGAGCTGTGTTTGCATTGCCGGCAGTAAGTCAGACCTGTTCCCGGTGCATATTGGCCTCCACCAAGGCTGCCCTTTGTCACCGGTTCTGTTCACTGTCTTTATGGACAGAATTTCTAAGCGCAGCCAGGGGCCGGAGGGGTCCGGTTACAGACCGCAAGATTTCGTCTCTGCTGTTTGCGGACAATGTTGTCCTGTTGGCTCCAACGAACCAGGACCTGCAACATGCACTGGGACGGTTTGCAGCCGAGTGTGAAGCGGCTGAGATGAGAATCAGCACCTCCAAATCTGAAGCCATGGTGCTCGACCGGAAAAAGGTGCCTTGCCCTCTCCAAGTGGGTGGAGAGATCCATCCTCAAGTGGAGGTGTGTAAGTATCTCGGGGTCTTGTCCACGAGTGAGGGAAGGCTGGAGCGTGAGGGTGACACAGTGACAGGCGGATCTGTGCAGCGTGCACAGTGATGGACTGTTGTGGTGAAGAGGGAGCTGAGCCGAAAGGCAAAGCTCTCAATTTACCGACCAATCTTCGTTCCCTCCCTCACCTATTGTCATGAGCTTTGGGTATTGACCGAAAGAACGAGATTGCGGATACAAGCAGTTGAAATGAGCTTCCTCCGCAGAGTGGCTGGGCGCTCCCTTAAGCCTAGCGTACATCGACAGAGAAACTGGAGACAACTGGTTGCAAGGCGGCTTTTGGCAACTGAGAGGAGATGGTGGGAGATGATCAGTTCCCAAAATCGGTCGATGTGCGCGCTCTTACAACTGGAGATAAACAGTCGGTCTCCAGTTTCAGTCAGTTGCCCGTGTTCTATTTTTCAGCCACTAGTTGTCCTCAGTTTCGGAGATATGACCAGATGTGCGCGCTCCATGCGCCGCTCCGACAACATGTGTGTATTGTGTGTATTGCGAGCGCGCAACAGTTTATGTCAGAAAACACACTGTAGTTGAGGCCAGTTGCTGTCGATGTACGCGCTGTTATTCCCGAGACTGGTCTACTACTGGGAGTTGCCCGTTTTCGTCAGATTGTCGATGTGTGCGGGGCAGCAACTAATATGCGACGGATATAATCAGTTGCCAGTCCGATGTACGCTAGGCATTAGAGATGGTGAGGAGCTCAGTCACACGGGAGGAGCTCGGAGCAGAGCCGCTGCTTCTCTACGTCGAGAGGAACCAGTTGAGGTGGCTCAGGCGTCTGTTCCGTAAGCCTCCTGGATGCCTCCTTGGGGAAGTGTTCCGGGCACATCCCAAGGGCACGCTGGAGGGATTACTGTATGTCTCTCAGCTGGCTTGGGAGCGCCTTGGGGTTCCCCAGGATGAGCTGGAGGAAGTGTGTGTGGATAGTGATGTCTGGGCGTCTCTGCTTAGACTGCTGCCCAGCAACCTGGCAACGAATGAAGCGGAAGACAATGGATGGATGGACAAATTTCAGATGTATTAGTTTTATTCCCTGCAATAACACAGTGCAGTACTCGTATCGGTATTTGGTATTCAAATTAAAGTACTCGTAACTCTTAGTGGTTTTCAAAAAGGTAGTATCGGTGCATCCCTAGTACAAAAACATGTAATGTGGATGGCAAAGGAAGGTTTCTCACCCATCATCTGTACTTCTTAGCAAGTTTTCCCGACGTTTCGTCCTCAATCCTAAGGACTTCTTCAGGGATTGTGGATATTTTATTATTTTATTATGGCTATAGATCACAGAAAAGTTGATTGTTGGCAGCAGCTGCAGCATCTTGCCAGACCTATGCTTTAGGTTCTTTATGACAGCTCTACACGCCGACCAATTACCAATTTATCAGACCATTTTGTTTTCCCAATTCTATTTCAGAACCTTCAGCACTGTATAATTTATTTGTGAGGCTTTGGTCAGTGAATGTTGAAACATACAGTAAGAACACCTTGCTTGTTAGACATAATAGGAGTACTCAAACATTACTCAAAAGTGCATTTAGACTTTTGGAATTACTGGGTGGTTTATAGCAGTTAACAGCAGACACACATTGTTTTTCTTCAGAACCTGGTATTGTGAACTTGTAGAAGTCTAGTGCCTTTTTACCATCCTGTAGTCTCCAGCATGTTATTTTTTGAGTTCAGTCTTGAAAGACTTGATGACCCCCCCTCCCCCCTTGGTGGATAATTGCCTTGTTTTTGTGCTGTACAGATGTTGGTTGAAGGGCAGGCAGTGCTTTTCTCTCTCTAATTACGCCACAGTCATGTCTGTCTGCGCTTACTACTCACTGCTGCCTCCGGGGGCTTCCTGACTTCACAGGGAAATAACAAACAACCGCTGCAACCTCTTCAGCTGCTGCATCTTATGTTTCCTACCTCTAAGTTCTTCCTTAGAATACTGTTTAGGAACAATGTTTATGAACATCTTTGAAACAAGACTGGACCACACAGCAATTGACTAATGGCCAAGAGTCCAATTTCTATGCAGTATTTTTTCATGCAAAGTTTGTGATGTATAAAAGAAGCGCACTTTCCATACACATCTGATCACAGAGGAGAGGAGAGCCTATCTGAACCTTTGAAACTGTGAACATAATAAACATAATAAAACTTTTAATGTGTATAAAACATGAATACAGTATTTTAATAATTTATAAAGCCTTTCATTTGAGGCATTGGGAACTCTGAACATTATAATCTCAAACAAAACATCAAGAGAAAGATTTAGCTGTTTGATTACTACTAAAAATGAATAATTTTCAGAAATTTTAATCAGAAAACTTTTATGAATCTCTCAACTAATCTTATAGTTAACTTAGTGAATAACCTGCACCTTCATAGACCAAAGTACCCAATCCCACTGCATTTCTTGGTTTCACATTTGAAACAGCATTTTTGAGGTTGAGGTAGAAGTCAGATCAAAGTCTGATTGGAAAAAATTATGGCCCTGAGATAGATCACAACTCCATCATATTCCTCAATTGTTGGTCTGAGGTCCACAAATAGGGTGAGCTGAGCTTCGTGAACAGTTTTCAGAAACTCAACATCAGTGAAGGGAGTCACTAAATGATCAATACCAAAGATTATTTCATTTATATAATAAATGTTTATGTTTGTAAAGAAATATTCATATATTATTTAAGCCCGATATCCATTTCTCTTATTTTTTTCTAAAGTAGTAAAACAATGTATACATTAATCTTTGTTATAGAATACAATGTACAGTGATCCATGCATTGAAATGAAATTTGGAAAGTTTTGTGATTGATTTACGTTTTTATAGACACTACTATTATTTCAAACACCACTGTGCAAACACAAGCACACACATTGACCACCATGGCTCAGCAGGACAAAGCCATAATGTAAATGAACACCCCACACCCTGTAAGGGATGATAACCCTTTAAATAAAGCATTTATTTTCACATGTTTCAATGACAACATGAGACACACACACAGAAGCTGAGTTCACTCTTTTCTTACTGTCTTGCTATTTCATCCCTGTCTTGGTATTTCACATTTTGTTGCCATTTCTCCCACTGAGTCCCCACTGAGACCCTCCCTGTCTGTGCGGTCTCCCACTGAGCCTGCAGGTGCTAATCATAGACCGTATATGATTATGCTCTTTTAAAGATGTAAAGATGTTAAATGATTTTAGATTAAATATTATTCTAAAAAGGTGACCGTGTTGGTTCTACTGGATCTCAGCGCTGCTTTCAATACAGTAGACCACACCATTCTTTTATCCCGCCTGAAACACCTTGGCCTCTCTGGTGCTGTCCACAAATGGTTTGAATCTTAATTAACAGACAGATCCTTCATGGTAAGTTTGGATACCTGCTCCTCTCAGGTCCATAAAATCAACTGTGGTGTGCCCCAGGGTTCCATTTTAGGTCCAGTCCTTTTTAACCTGTACATGCTCCCTCTTGGCGGTGTCATCAGGAGACATGGAATTAACTTCCACAGTTATGCGGATGACACACAGCTGTAAATCTCCATGTCTCCTGACGACAATGGATGCTCTTTTTAACTGCATTTTAGACCTGAAATCCTGGATGGCAGAAAACTTTCTCCAGCTTAACCAGGACAAAACTGAGGTTTTAGTCATCGGTCCTGAGGCCCAGAGAGAGAAACTTTTACCAAAACTTAACTCACACTTTTTTAAGCGTCCGTGAGAGTGTGTGTGTGTGTGCTTTTGTGTGTGTGTTTGTCTGCCCGTGCATGCATTCTTAATGATATATGTGGTTTGGGGTGGGCCTGTTGGGTTGTCGGGAAGAAGTGAGGCAACCAGTATGTGCCATCGGCTCCTCTGACCACCACCAACCATTCACGCACACACCAGACGCATTCTAGAAGAACCTTCCATGCCTGAAACCATGTATGATGCATATGTTTATTTTTTTGTCTGTTTTAATCCTACAGCTCAAATTTTTATAAAGTAATGATTCAAGTCGATTTGTCTTATTCTGTATAATTCTATTGAAAGAAATTACCCACTAGGCTGTTCTCCATTTACATTGAATTTTGTGTGAATATATTTCGATGGAAGAATTTACATCACTGCTAATAAATCTGACACTGCAGCTTTGTCCGAGTTTGTCCAAACTGCTTCAAACAAGTCGGAACAGACCAAACCGAGACTCTTGCCGTGCATCTGATATAGCATAGTTTCTGTAGCCACGGCTTCATATTAGTGTGCAGCTAAACTACTTTGTACAAAACAAACACAGCAACTTATGACTAACCAGTGATATGAAGCCTTTCCTACCAGTGTTCCCCTGTGCTTCCCCACTGAGCTTCTTTCTCCTCTTGAGGGGAGGAAGCAGAGGCTGATGGGCTTCAGTCTGACAGCTGTCTGTCTGTGCTTTGTCCTCGGTGTGTGGCTGGAGACTAGGATTCACCCGCCATATTATTAGGGAAGACCTATACGTTTCGCGTAAATGACTATTTAGAAAAAACAATGGCCAAAAAGTCTACTTGAACTCATATGGCATTATTTAGAATTATATCAGGGAAGGAACACATTTTTTTTCCACTGGAGGAGTTCAATCATCTCAGCAAAGTTTCTAGTTTTTGTGTTGATGTTTTTCCATGCATTTACAAAGCATTAGTGAACATTCTCCACCCACTCCAAAGGCGACAGTAGCTCAGTTTGTAGAGCATGGGCCTTTGAGCCTGAAGGTTGTGGGTTCGGGCCCACCATGCCGTGCCGATTCTACTAGGAGTTGAGTTGCATGTAAACACGTCGATTGGCTTAGAATGAGACAACGCAATGCAGTAGACTGGGAAAAGCCCCCTCAATAAAACACTCTGTGGTTTATGTGCAGCAGTTGAGATTAAGATAAAGATTACTTAATTACTTACATGTGAGAAAATAAATAACTCAAAATTAAACAAAGTGTGATTATAGCATGTATGATGACACTTGTATTTGCAAATCACATTTACAAAATTTGAGTAATAAGCAAAAGATGCCTTTGAAAGCATCCCCAGGTCGATGAAAGCGACCCCAGGTGCTTCGAGTGCCTTGTCAGATGTTTAACAATCACACCAAATAGATTTTCGAAGTACTCTGTCTTTGTATTGCTGGGATGCAGCTGACGTCACGCAGCGGCGCGATAGTGCTTCGAGGGACAGGAAGTAAATCTCCCCATTAAGAACACTGTAAAAATTCACTGATTCCGGGTCAAAATACTCTTTTTCTGTGGCGTGTACAGTTGTGGCAACTGCTCATATCAAGTGGAGAACTTATAGAGTCTCAATTTTGCTAAAAAAAATATTCTCTAATGGGTTGATTTTTAGGAAAATGTTTAACAAGGAACGAAAGAAATGCGTCAGCATTAGCATTATCCCGCGTAGCATCTGCGGCCGCAGACACAGCTGACAGTGCACAGTCTTTACTTTGCTGACTTTCATAGATACAATGCAGTATTTTTTTGTGGTATATGGTTGTAGTAACCGAGGCAACAGAGAGAAAGAACTGTTAAATACATTTTTTTAATACCAAAGATTGTCTCAAACCAACGTGTACAAGTGTAACAAAGCTAAAAGCAGGCTGTACAATCTAAGTCTACTCACATATAATCTAGCCATAGTTCATCGTTATTTCAACGACCCTATACATGTATCCTAGCTCTGTGCCCAAGGACATCTGCGTTTCTTTGCAGCCCTCCGCCACTAACTTAAAGCTGGATTACCTCACTTTAATTTTGTATTCATTACAAAAATTCAATCCACATGCATGCAATGTATTGGGATATACGTCCTTTTGAAGAATAAACCTGAAACTTCCTGTGGGTTTGTTACCGGTTACTGCTTACACAGCAAAACAGCCATCCAAAAGAAAGTCACGTCCTCCGCACTTCCCGGTTCCATCATTCTATGGTGTAGTTTTTAGATCATTAAAAACAGAACATCGTTTTATTAGAGGTTTGAAAATGTTATATTTTCCATCTCCAAAATGTAAGCAAATCCCACTGTGGATGTGTGTGCCATTTTTCAGTGTGAACTTGTGTCGTATTGGTTGTAGTTGGAGAGCAGGGAGGGAGGGACTGCAGGTGAAGTGTGGGTCCACCCAGAGGAATTTGGCCGCAGACTCACCGACTGGACTTCTGTTTACCCCCCCTCCCACCACTACCACCACTCCCCAGTTTGTGTATGGGGCCTTCAGAAAGCTCATGCATGGCTAAAGGGCTACACCAAAGGGATTTTCTTCTAATTTGAAATTTTAAAGTTCAGCAACTGTAGCCTATATCATTGAATTAAAGCAGTACTCTTAGAAGCCCCATGATTCTTGTTAAGTTTCCTTTTTGCTTTTTTCATCAAAACAAAACAACAAAACACGTGTAGCGAGGGATGATCTGGATATTGTTTCTTAACAACAAGGGTACTGAACCAAAACTGGTTGTATTGATTCTCGACTCAATACAAGAAAGAATTGCAGCCTGAAGAAATCAACACGGAAAGTGGGAGGGACTGTTTTCTAAGCGATATGTGAAGACCACTCAAAGGACTGATGAAGTTTGGTATTTTTGTTGAGTTTTGTGAAAGATCTGAACATGTTTTCTGAGGTATTATGTTTTCTGAGTTTTTTAAAGTATCCTAAAGTATACTGAGTTTGTCAATTCTAACAATGCATACAGTAAGGCAGTGATTTTCCACTTGAATGTTTTGGTTGAAGGTCAAGCTACTGGCACTTTGGCAGCGGCTGATTGGACTGTCAATCCTATAATATCACATGCATTCTGTAAAATATTTGTTTGTGTCTCATCTCAGTAATAAGATCAAGTAATATCACTAATTACATTATGTGTTCAATGTTCGTAATGAAGTAAATTATGCAGTTCAGAGAATATTCCTCAAGAGAAATGGCTTTAAAAAGATGTATAGCATGTCATGGTTGCCCATATAAATCTACTAACTATAATTATATTGATGTTTGCAATTGAATATACTAGGAACCTCCCTGCCGCCTGCAATACCGTCGCATACCCCTAGGCAAGGCAAGTTTATTTGTATAGCACAATTCATACACAAGGCAACTCAAAGTGCTGAACAAGATAGCATTAAAATCATAAATAATCACAGAACATTAAAAAGAAAGATAAAAACATTAAATCCCTCAGTTGTATGCACAGCTAAACAGCACCGTTTTTAACCTGGTTTTAAACATTGTCAGAGAGGAGGCCTGTCTCACATCTTCAGGAAGATTGTTCCAGATTTTAGGAGTCCCTAGGAGTCCATGTACTGGGAAGTGTTAGCCATATTTAGCTATTTCTTAGAGGGTGTGCTAAAGTAGTACACAAAATCTCAAATGTTTTCCGTTTTGCAATGTGTGGATTCGAAGAAATAACGTTTATTGGCTAAATGGCCACCCTCTTGTCTCCTTCCACTGCACAGTACATTGTCTCCCTTCTTTTTGGCACCAGGTTGGGCTTATAAATTGGCTTATGCAGACTGTTTGCAATTTGCAAACTCTTAAAGGCATATATGTGAGTTCCCATATGCGATTTGTGGAATGGGCCTGCCCCCTTAAGTACAGAAGTATACACATTCCTGCAAGGTTAGTCAATGCAATGGTGAGGGACAAAGGGGAGAACTACAGGCCAGGCTATGAGCTGCTCACTCCTTCACACACACATACACGCTCACACAGAAGTGAAAGGGAGGAGTTAAAGTTTATTAGATAGAACTGTGATTATCAGTTATGATAGAACTGTGATGATCAATCGTAACGCAACTTAATTCATACAGCAAAAGGCAAGATGTCTTACGGATTATTACATTTTTAATCCTGATTAGAAAAGTGTGTTTTCTTAAACAGGTTTAATGCCTTTATAACGCAGTACAAACACATGTTGTTTGTGGGCTTTCCTTTCCACAGATCTTGGTTGTAACTTTGAATTACATGTAGAATTAATGTTTTTCTCTACAATGGTGTGGTTTAAAAATGTTGTCAGTTTCCTAAACATTCCATATGCCCTATATTTTCATATTGGCTTCATAAGCACTTATAAGCAGGACTCTTTGACTGGCCGTAAGCTCACATTTGCCTTGTTTCTAGGACATTTCTCCTGTTTTGTGGGCAATGAAATAGTCTATAGTTAAGGGACCTGTTGAAAAAGAGACAAGGTCTCTGGGGTCGTGTCAGACAGACAGAAGACATGTTATAGTGTCAATAGTAGAGATGAGACACAAACAAAGATTTTACAGAATGCATGTGATATTATAGGATTGACAGTCCAATCAGCAGCTGCCAAAGTGCCAGTAGCTTGACCTTCAACCAAAACATTCAAGTTGAAAATCACTGCCTTACAGTGCCTTGCGAAAGTATTCGGCTCCCTTGAACCTTTCAACATTTTGCCACATTTCAGGCTTCAAACATAAAGATATAAAATTTAATTTTTTTGTCATGAATCAACAACAAGTGGGACACAATCGTGAAGTGGAACAACATTTATTGGATAATTTAAACTTTTTTAACAAATAAAAAACTGCCCCTTTACTTTCAGTGCAGCAAACTCACTCCAGAAGTTCAGTGAGGATCTTTGAATGATCCAATGTTGTCCTAAATGACTGATGATGATAAATAGAATGCACCTGTGTGTAATCAATTTGGATACAAAAAGATTTCCCAAGCTTTAAACATCTCAAGGAGCACAATTATATTGAAATGGAACGAGTATCAGACCACTGCAAATCTACCAAGACCCGGCCGTCCCTCCAAACTTTCATCTCAAACAAGGAGAAGACTGATCAGAGATGCAGTCAAGAGGCCCATGATCACTCTGGATGAACTGCAGATAACTACAGCTGAGGTGGGAGAGTCTGTCCATAGGACAACAATCAGTCGTGCACTGCACAAATCTAGCCTTTATGGAAGAGTGGCAAGAAGAAAGTCATTTCTCAACAATATCCATAAAAAGTCTCGTTTAAAGTTTGCCACAAGCCACCTGGGAGACACACCAAACATGTGGAAGAAGGTGCTCTGGTCAGATGAAACCAAAATCAAACTTTTTGGCCACAATGCAAAACGATATGTTTGGCGTAAAAGCAACACAGCTCATCCCCCTGAACACACCATCCCCACTGTCAAACATGGTGGTGGCAGCATCATGGTTTGGGCCTGCTTTTCTTCAGCAGGGACAGGGAAGATGGCTAAAATTGATGGGAAGATGGATGGAGCCAAATACAGGACCATTCTGGAAGAAAACCTGTTAGAGTCTGCAAAAGACCTGAGACTGGGACGGAGATTTATCTTCCAACAGGACAATGATCCAAAACATAAAGCCAAATCTCCAATGGAATGGTTCACAAATAGACGTATCCAGGTGTTAGAATGGCCAAGTCAAAGTCCAGACCTGAATCCAATCGAGAATCTGTGGAAAGAGCTGA